AAGTAATGCAAAAGATGGAAGACCTAGAATGTAGTTCTCTTTAAGCATCCGCAGCTTTGCAAGGACAATGATTCGAGCCTCGACCTGTTAATTCATGGAATGTAAGTATTCAATTCATCTAACAGAGTTGATGAGAAATATCTACTTGACAGTTGAAATTCAGCTGGCATTAACTTCTTTTATTTATGGATTAGGAATATATATATATATATATAAGAATGAACCATAAAACCAAGGCTAGTTAAACTAACATGGGTCCAAGAGAATACAAATTGTTCTCCCCAATAATGAAAATTTTAATGAATATCTACAGGATTCTCTACCTTTGTAAGCCCTCTAAGATCAATTGTCAAGTTCTCTGCAAAGTTCTCTTGTAAATATGCAGCTACTTTCTCAAGAAGCAGGCTTTGAGGACCATAAACTTCACTTCCTTTATCACATTTGTCAATATTCAACTCACTCCACCGTTTACCTTTATCAGATATCACTCCCTCACACCACTCCTCAAGTAGTTCCTTCAAGAAACGATCATTTGAATTATATCTGCATAGTTTAAGAAATTGTTGGATTAACCAATGCTCAAATGGTGTTGGATTTAATATTTTACATACCCTGCTTTACGCATGTCCTGATATATTGCCAAGCATTGCAGAACTTCATCCAAGGATCCATATCTACTTCGAGCAGTCAACAAAGTATTGTATGTCACCTGCAAAGCATGTAACTTCAGGATCTTGTGATCCTCAAAGTATAAACACTTCCACCAAGTAAAAGATGTTCATTTAACAGGATACATCATGGCAATAGTTAGAGAAACAAAAAGCAGAAAAGAAGTATTTTACAATCTAGCCAAAAGATTTCATGCTTCCGAGGGAGCATACTGGCCATTCACTCCCTCTGTGCAAAACCCAATCTAGGAGTATTTTCCGGACCGTAAATTTTGGGGATATAACGTCCTAAACCTATATGCTATACTCACCAAAAATAAAAAGGTCCAAATTGTGTTGTCCATAGGCATGAAAACAATAAGGGTGCGGTTTGTATAGAGCCTAGTCTCTAAACAATCAAAGTAAAGCGCACCTTCAAATAGTGTCGAAAATTTTCGTTTAATACTGAAATTTTTTGTGATAGCCTTAAAAAATATTTTCATCTATAATTATAAAATTTAAAGCTTCAAACATAGTATAGATCGAGCAGATCTATAAAAACTTGAAAATCTTGAAATTGACGGTCCAAAAATGCGTTACACGGTGCACTATTTCTAAAACTTGAAATCCATTTTTTTCTCATGTTCATGCATCTTGATGTTGAGATGATCAATTTGAGGATATTTGGGCATCAAAACGACCTCTTCTAGTGAAATTTTTGAGGTGGGCCCTAATTGGATTGTTTAGAGCCTCAACTCTATATAAACTTTTTTCAAACAATAATGCCTCAAGATTGAATAGAAACTGTCCTATTTCTTAATGGTGAGGTCTTAGCATTAAAAACTCAAAATTTGAACTTTTTCTTTTGAATATAATCATCTAGTGATTTTTAGGTGGTTCCCAAAATTTTGGATCAAAACAATCTTCCCAAGGTAGTCTCCTGCCCAAGGGAGTAAATGTACAGAACACTCCTGCAGGAGCATAGTACACCCGCTTTACAATATAATTTAGTTTTGATACTCATTGTACTTCAATTGCAATCACATAAAAACATTATGATAGCTTTTGAATGTTCGAATTTAACTTTGTAAATTACTATGTATCCATATATACGCTACAAGATTAATATCACACTTGAGAACCTTAAAACATTTGGAGATCAACAATGGCAACACAATTATTATCTAGATAACACTCACCAAATTAGGCTGCAACCGGTGTCTTTTCATCTCCTCAAATAATGAAAACGCCATTTTGAAGTACTTGTTACCAACACATGCCTACCAATACAAAAGAATGTTATTGCAAACATAAACAATCAAACCAAACTTCTTGAATTATTCAAACCAGCTCCCAAAAATTATTTTTTGAAACCATACTAAGATATCGGACAAGAATCTTCCAAAGCTAACCAGTTTTCATTCTTACCTAGAGTTGAATTCAATCAATTGTCCATCACAAAAGCAAACTAATTGTTTCAACCAAGCAGCAAAGCACATAGATAAATCAATTCACACCACTATACAGTTCTGTTTATGTGGCTGTGTGCTTGATACTGTTTAGACGTGTTTAGACTTCAAATAATTATCCGTACTGTACATCATATTTCTCCATAGTAACCATATTTTTAACAGCTATTACAAAAAATTTCAAGAAAAGAAAATGTTCCATTGTCGCATCTATACAGGTCGAGATCAAATTTGTGGCACGTAAGCTTGCTAAGCAAGCACTCAGAAACCAAATTTTCCAATTTTATTGGATGTCTCTGATAAAATATCTTGCTGTGCTCCTTTTTATTAACACAAATCTTTAACTTCATCAAAAAAATATATCTTGCTGTGTAAGCAGGAACTTGGAAATCTCTATGTAAGGAATGTCTTGAATTCAAAAGTTGAAATCCGGTAAAAAGAGTTTCCTTTGAAGTAGGGACACAAAAAAAGAAAACAAATTTGAGATCAACTTACATGCCTTGGTTTAATTATTTTTTGAACACCAAGCAAGGTCAACATACCAAAATTTCCATTGTTTCACTCCAGAAAAAAAGTATAATGCCATATGCACTCTCAAATGATTCAATTCCTTCTCTATCTGAGGAGCAGCAAAAAAATAGTATAGGTGGATTTCCCTAGTCGTTAATCACACAGAATTATGTCGATTATTTTTGTCTTTACTTTTTGATGAATAAACTTAGAACTGTTCTTGCAGGTAATTACAGAAAATGGGGATCCCAAAGGTCGAATTATAGGTCAATAGAATGTGACGAAGCCCATTATAAACAAGAAATCTGCTTGTTGAAAATTCAAAATTGGGAAATAAATTTGGTGTGAAAACAATAATATTGCAGAACATTATCAATACAGCAAAACAAGTAGATCTCACTCATGAAAGAATGCTAATAATTATTAAACAGGAAGATACATTGATCGCACTACTAACCTTGATTGCTGTTGTATATGCAACAACATCAGGAATAATACCTGCATTGTACATGCTTTTGAATGCCTACATCACAAACACAAAATACACAAAAATATTGCATCATAAAGCACCATTAGTTTATCAATGATAATACAGTTCACAAAAAGAAATTTCTAGCCAAAGATATATTAACCAATTGCTGACAACATTATTCTTTTGAATATGTTAACTTTTGTATTGAGTAAGACAAAAGTATATGAGGCGTATGAGAATTGCTGACAATATTATTTGACATCATAAACAACACACACATATCATCCAACAAAAAGTGTATTACATGCAAGGAAAATGAAGTTTAGCAACCAAAACTTAGTGAGGCCAGATTCAAATCCCAATCTAGAGCAGGAATGAGTACTATAGAGCAGATAAAATTCTGAAAAGAAATCATCAATCAGAAAAGTTTGGATTACCTTATGAACTGGAATGCACCTTCTTACAAAAACTATTCATTGACCATGCCATTAGTTGAGGCTTATAGAGATGCAGATTGGGCTGGTTGTATTATAGAGATCTACGACAGGTTAATATACACAAGGTAACCTTATAATTTGGAGAAGTAAAAAGCAATCAATTGTAGCCCATTCAAGTGCTGAAGCACAGTATCGATCCATGGCTCATGGAGCACGTGAGTTTCTGTGGTTGAAAATCCTATCACGAGAACTTGGTTTCTGGTAAAGAAATCAATATCCTTATATTCTGATAACAAGGCAGCCATTAATATAGCTCCCAATCCAGCCCAGTAAGATCGAAGCAGCATTTTATCAGAGGAAGAGTTACTAATAGAGAAATTTGTCTTCCTTATGTGATGACTGAAGATCATCTAGCATATATTCTAACAAAGGCCATGGGAAACCTCGAATACTATTTATCTTAGAGGAGTTGGGCATGATTGAGGTCTATGCACCATGCTAAGGGGGAGTAATGTGAAAGTGAATATTGGCTTCTAGTTTTCTTTTAATTGTATTTTAAGCCCCTAAGGACTTATGTATCCTTCTTCTACTTAAGTCAATTTTATAATTAATATAATACAGTACAGAAGTGCATGGGGTTCACAAGTTAGACCTCACATGACCTTCTCTCTTCCTTTTCTTTTCTCAAAGTATCTCACCTCCCCATCTTTCTTTCTAATCAAGCCTTTGATCTCTCTTTCTATTCTCTCCTTCTTTAGTGCTGCTGTATTATTAACTGTGATAAGCCATTTATATGACAAATAAACTACTCTCATATTTAGCCAACCCGACCATGTGACTTGCCTATATATTTACTATATAGAGGTTACTTTATTTGTTATGTATCATACAGATTGAATAATTCAAGGTTAAAAATTGAGATTGATTATAAGAATAAAACCTCCACAAGTAACTGAGTTGAATCACTCGAGCACCAAGTTGACTTGACCTAGCATGCTACCAACTCATCTCCCAGTATACCGAGTTGGCAAATATTGAGTAAAACATGATTCCTTTATTATTCCATTAGTCTTTGTTGAATATTGGAGCATGTCTCCTCTCATTAGTTTGCCATTTTTCATCTTCCTATCATAGGATGTCTTCCACTTCGTCCACCTCTCCTTGAGAAACTTCACACATTGTTTCCCGAAGCATTCTACCATCATCCTAACGAATTGCATATCTAAGAATAAGCAGGCCAGGTGTACTGCTGATAACTGAAATAAAGTTGAAACATAACACAAGCAAACTCCATATGAATGTTATTTATGGCAGTTCAAAACAGTGAGACTCCATACAAGAATTCCTGTTTGATCGGTAACTAAACCAAAAAAAAAAAAACCCTCCCTAATGGATATTGGATTTTGCAATGGTACTCTTGACATTCTCTTCTTCAATAGAGCTACTCAAGTCAGCGACCTTTAACTATAAGCAACTGTCCTTGTATAGCATACACACAAACACAAATGTACGAATGCATGTGTGGAAACACCGACAATTGTGTGTGTACATGGGTCCTGGAATGTAACTTAGAATTATGTCCATGTTCGCGCATGTATGACTTTAAAAATCAGCCAGCCAACCAAGACTAGGTCTGAGTAAACTCGCCTCAGTTCACGGCTGAGTCTTAGCAAGCCTATTAAGATACAGGCAAGTCTAAAAATTACACTGTTTTCTCAATTAGACATGGTCAATTCTCACCCATCTGACTCAGCTCAGCAAAATGACAAAGTCCCGAGATGAGTTCACACTTCTCTTGTTACGTGCGCTGGAAGTAGAATTCACACCTGGAATATGGTGCTATAATTGTCAAGACCCTAGATGCACGCACACACATGCACATACCGGCACACACCATTTACTATAGTGCATTCTTTACAGTGACTATAAATATCTACTGCTCACTAAAGAATCCTCCTCCTTGGCATAGAACAGAAGGCATAAAAACATAGTTCAGGGAGCAATCTTTTCCAGTACCCTTTTCTTCATTTCCTTTGTTTGTGGCTCATGGTTCCCATGATGCTCCAGCCCTTAAGCACCAGAAACCTTCCTCTTATATTACATGTAAGAGGATCTCCCCCTACTGTCATATCTCTAATGTCAATAACCTCGGTATCTCTATCCCTCTCAATACTTGAATATCTCTCTCTTAAAACTTAAACCCCCAGTACTCTCTCCTGTTCTACTTTCTTCATCATGCTAAAAGAAAAAGATCAAAAAAAAAAAAATGTGCTTTGGAAAACTAATGATGTGCCCACGAGCCCCCATCATTTTCCGACCCCAACACCTGCCAACAGTCAACATAACATTTTGCTGAAACACAAAGTTCTTTGTTTCAACAGATAAAGGTCCCTCAATCCAAAATATAAAAAATATGAAATGCATGTATAAAGAAGTCCGTTAAAATTTTGAAGACTTTGATCAGAGGATGAACCCCCCAACCATCCATTGTTGCATTGGACAGTTGAAGCACCTGATATAAATGCAGGATAAGAAAAGGCAGCACAAGACAGATCTTTTCCAATGCTGGCTATGATTTCCTTTAGTACAAGAATAAGCAAATTTAGAACAGTGCCTGAGTTCCTCCTCCTGACATTTTAATTCCGTTGAATATCAGTAAAATATAAGCACTTTTTAAGTTGATAATATGGATCCACATTGGTCCTATTCAGCCATTGGTACATTGAAGGATATTATTTACAGTACACAGAATAATTTCAACTTGAAGCTGACAGATTCCAAGAACATCCTGGAAAATCATAAATATCTAAAGAAATAAAATTTAGTAATTGCAAGGACTCAGAATCCAGATTAATCATCACAAGGCTTCAAAATGTAAGTGACACAAAGCAAGCTGCAACTGGTTGTTCTTGGGAATAGCAGCTAACTAACATATTCATTGAGTCAATGGTCAATAAATAGTTTATATGAAATAAAGAACTGAATGCAAACACATAGAATAAATAGTCTAACCTGTATTGCACCCTTCATGTTGTACGACCTTCCACATATATCAATCAAAATTGACCAACTTATGTGATTAGGAGAAAGACCTCCAGCCTTCATCTCATCCATTAAAGCTTGTGCACGGTAGTAATCAGTACCACAAGCTTTCATTAATATATTGTATGTGGCAACTGTGGGTTTGAAAGGAATAACCTCAGAGAAATTTAAATCATGCGGATCTAATGCATCACTAGTAATATGGAATTCATGGTTTCCACTTGAAAAGTATTCATTCTGCTTGATATCTGTAACTGTCTTGCTTCCACATTCTTTTGCATTACTACCCATTGAAAACCCATTTTGCTTCCAGAAATGAAAAATACGAAAAGCTCTATCGAATTGGCACGACTCGACACATGCATTGAGAAGAATGTTGCAACACTGAGTATTTGGCTCACAACCAACGACAAGCATTTCTTCAAGGACCTGAATGACTCGTTCTACTAGCCCTGCATTAGCACAGGCACTAATCAATGATGACCAAGTGACTATGTTTGGGCTAACACCAGCAGATATCATATCATCTTTTATTTTAAACGCCATTTCCCACATTTTTGCATCTGCGAATACCTAGAAATCAGTCAAATAGACATTAAGTCAACATGCATCCCCTAGCATCAGATACCTGATCTCAACCAACAAGTACATGGGAGCATTTACAGGAAAAAGAAAACAGTGAACAGTGTATAGGAAGGACTTGGAAGATGACACCATAAGATTTTGTATACCTTGATTATCGTACTATAGGTGATAACATCCAACTTTAGGCCACCAAACAAGGCTCTCTGAAGTATCTCCTCATAGATTTCTTGAGCCAAATCAACTCTTCCAGCGAGGCAACACACCTTCAATAACACATTATAAGAAGCCATATCTGCAGCAACACCTAATTTCTGGAGATGGCATGGTTATGAAAAGATTAGTGAAATACAATAGAGTGCAATACTGCAAAGTATCCCATTATAAAACAAAGGACAAAATAAATCGGAGACAAAAATAAAAATGTACGGAATATATCATCCTGCTGAGTACTTAAACATAGTTTTTTAACCACAGCAGGGGTGTTAAGGAGAAAGAAAATGCTCAACAATATGGTCATGCATCACTCGATGTGGTTACATAATAGTAAATTACAGAAAAAAATACTTAACATGGTTTCTTCTAACACTGGAATAATAGAAAACTCATTGAAGAGATTATGCAAATGCCAATCATCCAGCATAAATAAAAAGAGAAACAGAAACTATTTCCAAGGACAGATGCACAAACACTTGATCGATTTATGTAACCCACCTATAATACAAGAGGAAGTCAAAGAAGGAGATGGCATTACTTTCATTTGCTTGTATATATGCAAGGCATAATGCGAATCATGAGCATTCACATTCATCAGACTGTTGAACACGAAAGTATTTGGAGTGATCTTCTGAACTAACAAGTCCTGCAATAGAATAATTCTTTATAAATCGAAGCAGTGATCAAATTAAAAAATAAATGCATAAATATTCTCTTACTCATACATAGAATTATTCCAGAGGATGGAAAGGGAACTCTAATACCCGTATTGACATAAGCATTGTTTAAGAAAGTAGACATATGCAAAAGGAGAATAAAAAAAATGCAATTCACATATACAGGCATGTGCATAAAGATAACTAGCACATGGAGGATGACCTCAGAGACTAGATATGGACCACTAGCAGTTACCTCAAAAATGCTCCTGGACTTCAACGAGTCACCACAGTAACCACAAGCATCAATGATACTCCGGTATATGTACATGTTTGGACTAACAGATTTCCCCTTTGATACTTCAAAAGCAACTAAGGCAGATTGCAAATCTTTCTTCTTCCCAAATTCACATATTAAGAAATTGAACCAAACATCTGCATGAGGAAGAATACTTGCATACCTACAAAGGAATGTTGATGTTTAATACCAACATTTATGGACACCCATAACCAAGCACAATCTCAAAGAAATTTTGATCTTCTATTCTTGGACATAGTACTCTTAGGGCCCGTTTGCCTCCTTGGACTCAAATTTCAAGGAGTTACTTTTCCTAGAAAAGGCTGAGCAATCGTGTTTTGTTCGTTTAGAATTCACATTTCTGTTGGAATTGAGATTTCCATGGGATTCCTAAATACTCATTTTCAGACTAAATTTTGAAAATCTCAATTCCACGAAAATAGGTGGAATTGACATTTCATGGAAACCACATTAAAATTTTAGAGAGGGAAACTATATCAAATTTTAGAGAGAGAAAACATATTAAAATTTAAGAAAGGGAAACTATATCAAATTTTAGAGAGAGAAATTACCTGAAATTTTTTAGAGAGAGAAAATACATGAATTTTTTAGAGAGAGAAACTATCTCAATTTTTTAAAGAGAAACTACCTCAAACTTCATGTTTCAGATTGAGCATCTCAAAATTTTAGAGAGAGAGTATCTTAAAATTTTAACGAGAGGAAACTATACTAAAATTTAAAGAGAATAACTATTTAACAACTTTTAGAGAGAAACATCTCAAAACTTTTACAGAGAGAAACTCTCTCAAATTTTAAGTTTTAGATAGAGAGTATAAGGAAATTTTAAAGATTAAAAACTATATCAAATTTTAGATCGAGAAACTACCTGAATTTCTAGAGAGAGAAACTATATCAAATTTTAGATAGAGAAAATACCTGAAATTTTTAGAGAAAAACTATTGCAATATTTTTAGATAGAGAAACTATCTCAAATTGTAAATTCTCTTGAGAGATTATATTATAATTTTAGAGAAAGAAACTACTTGAAAATTTTAGAGAGACAAACTAACTCAAAGCTAAAGTTTTAGAGAGAGAACACATCTTAAAATTTTACAGAGAGTAACAAATCAAATTTTAGAGTGAGAAAGTACCAAAAATTTCTTACAGACAGAAACTATGTCCCATTTTTTAGAAAGAAACTATCTTAAATTTTAAGTTTTAGATAGAAAAAGTATTTTAAATTTTTAGAGAGAGAAACTATATCATATTTTAGATAGAGAAACTACCTGAAACTGTTTAGAGAGCAAAACTATTTGAAAATTTTTATAGAGAGAAACTATCTCAAATTTTAAGCCTTAGATAGAGAAAGTATCTCAAAATTTTAGAGAGAGAAACTATATCAAATTTTAGAGAGTATCTAAAATTTTTAGAGAGATAAACTATCTCAAAAATTTTAGAGAGAAACTATTTTTTTTATAGTTAGAGAGAGAAACTATTTCAAATTTTAAGTTTTTGAAGAGAGTACTAAAATTTTAGAGCAAAAACCATATCAAATTTTAGAGAGAGAAACTATCTCAAAAATTTTAGAGAGAGGATTTGCATTTCCAAGAAAAAAAATATTCCAGGAAATCCAAATAGTGAATTTGCATTTTCCTGGTTTCTACCAGATGTAATCCAAACAGTACACCATATTCAAGGAAATGCCAATTCCAGGATACACTTTTCCACATGATTGAAAAATCCAAGGAACCAAACAGAACCATAAGGAACTACTTTATCATAAATTGCTGCTTTTCAATTAAAACTTATTTGTTGCAGTTTGAATGAATCAAAATTACAATCATCTACAATAGGTGTAATGTATTGTGAAAAGTAAACAAATGCAAAGACAATCCACAGAAATGCATATCCAAGTTCCAAGATGGCCTGGGAGTATTTCATTTGAATTCTTTATAGCACTCATTTCTTGTAGATTGTATCAATCATGTTCCTCACAAAGTTGAACCATACATATAGCCGCATGATACAAATGTTCAGGCATGCAGCACGTGCACAAACATATACATATAGAAAATTCATCGTGTAGCCGACCCCAAATTGTTAGGAAAAGGCTCTGATGATGATGATGATGATGAAAGCACGATTCATAAAACTTCATCCTTTTTTGAATTCAAAAAAAAAAAAAATCTTGCTGGATGCATAAATACATATAAACTCAATCTAGTTTGTTGGGAGCAGCTCATTTAGATCAGTTAGGAGAAAATAAAAGATACAAGTTAGGAGAAGGAACAGAAACATTGAAATTTGTACAAACTAGATCAGTTTTCAGTACTAACTTTATTGCATATGAACAATGCATAGAAGGAAAGAATTCCCCCTTTAGAGTTTAGTTTTTTACGACACTTCTTGTGTATGAACTCCAATTTAATTTTTTTTAAGCCATGATACATCTAGACAGCTTATGGGCTTACATTGGAGGATATAGAGCTCGGAAACCTAGGAGCTATATACACATATTTGTCCCTAGAAGTTCCAAAATTGGTCTGGTTCCTATAAAAAAATTCATTTCTTATTAAAGGTTTATCTACTTAACATGTACTGTTGTACATAAGAACCTTCTAGAAGTATGGAGGGCTCAATCATAAAAATGGTGGACTCAAGTTTGAACAATAAGGTCTAGCATCACAAAGTTATGCCTATATTAAAACAATAAACCCCTACAGCATTCCAAGAATATTCTCGGACAACCCCAGCCCCTCCATATTGCTCTATTCATTTTGTATTGAAGGTTTATCTCCTTGACATATACTGTTGTACATAAGAACCTTCTAGAAGTATGGAGGGTGGACTCAAGTTTGAACAATCAGGTCTAGCATCACAAAGTTATGCCTCTTTTAAAACAATAAACCCCTACAGCATTCCAAGAATATTATCGGACAGCCCCAGCCCCTCCATATTGCTCTACATATCGAGGAACCAACCTTGAACTGTGAAAATGACAATAAAGTAGGCTCCAACAAATGATCATAACAAGCTCATATGAACCTCACAATTTATATTTGTCATGTAATTTGTTTGTTTTCTTGTACTATATTCTTTGTAACATTTTGTTTCTGAAAAAGGTACAACACTTGACAAAGGTATAACACTTAATAATTCTACAAGTTCCTGTATGGCACGTTTAAATCTAAATGGTAATGTTCTCCTTCCAGCAGGCCAAAATTTCATCTCGGCATAATTCTCAAAAACAAATCAACGTATTACCAGGATAAGATTATGAAGAAGCCAATTTAACTAGAAAGCATGCTACTCGGTTCTCAGTTTCATCACAAAACATTTTAGTGAACAATTAAATCACTTGAAGACAAAGAAATAATCAATAGAAAGGTCTGAAACTATGATATTAACCCAAGATTTAAACTTAACCCAATAATGTATAACATCCAAAATCATTTTAATCTTGAAAGGCACGATATAGAAACCAACTTGGAAGAAGTTGGGTTAAGGGTATATTTCATAATACCTCCCAGCCATAAAAGGATCATGCCTATCAATACAAGCCTGTAAGATGAAAGTTGGTTTCACAACATCTTTTACTGAGAACCGATAACCTAGAGCAAAAGAAGAAGAACCTTAATTAGAACTTCCAAGATCAATTTTTGCGACCGCGTAACCATTTTGTTCCAACTCAAAGAACCATACAATATTTGTATTTCCTAAGCACTTTTATTGAAACATCATTAATTCCATTATCACTTTGGTGGTCATCAAATATGACAAAACAATTGAATTAAACAATTGACTAATAAGAATATTAAAAGAACTCATGATGACCACTGACAGGGCTTCAAAAGGGGTATTCTATTTAGCTAGACCAAGAAAAGTGAAATAGACTTTGCTACACATGTAATGGAAAATCTCATTATTTCACACTAATCAACATCAGAAAGCATAGAGCAGAGCATCTAAAAAGTAGTGAATCCAAAGATTGAGAAATGTGGAGCGATAATTCATCCTCTAGGCAGTATGCAGGAGCTCTGGATCTATTTCATGTAGATCTTACCAGAATAAGGTGTAGTATCGAGACCCCAGACAACGTGATATCATACCATGACAGCCTGTGAAGGTATATTGAGGTGAACTTTGAATTTTGCAATGGAAAGTGGAGGAGAAAATTGTTCAAATTTCAACCACTACAATGATGGGCATCAAAAAGAAGACGACACGCATTAAGTTTGTTGATTTTTAGGTTATCCCTCAAGAATGTCATGCACATAAGCAGTGAGTGATGTTAGATATAAGGGACGAAAACGGTGAGGAAGCTATCCTTTGACTCTTGAAAGAATAATAAGCAATTATATCAAGGTAATGAGGCTTTTTGAGGGAGTCTACATACTAGGAAGTCCCAGTTAAAATCTATGGACTGCTAGGTAAAGAACATATCAAAGGCTTAATCCCCTAAGAGTGGCCATTTCTTTTAGTGCATGACACAAGAAAGGTTTTGACTGGTGATTATATCATGTTGATTTGACAAGCCATGTACATGCAACATTATTTTGGAGGAGGAACATTCTAAGATCATCCTACCATAAAATTAAGCATCTGAGTTTTAGCCACTTCTTCCACTATTTGGAAGTTTTGAGGGCTTTCACCTTTCAAAGGGTGTTTCTGGTATCTAGGGCAGTGATTAATCCTAACAAAAAATGTATCTGATTCAGTACCAGTTTTAATTGCCCAATGATATTCCAGAGATTATAGGACTGAAAAGTAGAACTACTAATATGATGGTCATTTGCAGGGTATAAGTTTGGGAATCAATGTGCACTTTCTCTTAGTAGTTCACAGGGAAGTTGAGTATAGATTAGCTCCAACAAGATTTGAATCAAGTAATCAGAAACCTAAGCCAGCTAAGTGCCAATAATCTTTAAGATATCAGGCCTCTTTCGATGTGCATATAGCTCACCAAAAAGGCGATCTAGGCACTCGTATATATGCTAATCTTTTCATTGGTTCATCATGTCAGGGTATTGATATTATCCTGATGGTTTAGTGCAGGAAAAGGGGAGACACTTCAGATAGGTCTAATTTTACTGAATAGGTGATACATGGCTATTTTTAATTACATCTGTCAAGCACTGACCTATGTATGCATTAAAACTGACCCATTTTCATTTGAATTACAATTTAGCATTATAGTAGAGCAACCCACAACCTCTCATAAAAGATGATTAATACAGGATGCAACATAACAGCATAAAGAAAAACATGGGCTCGTTCCATTTTCCTTTTCGTACATCAAAGGGGATGATTCAACCAAGATTAGAAATTAATGAATTTTAGAAGAGCAAGCAACCCTTCCATGCCCAATTTGTGTTCATTAGTAAGCGGGGTTGGTGTCTCTCAGAAACATCCAGTAAATTGGATGTATGGAATGAGATATAGAAGATTACCATGGCCTCTGCACCACGATGACAACACAAAAATTGAGAAATGGTCCAAATCCCAAAAAGAAAAGATGCATTTGATGGTATCCATTGGCCAAAATAAATGTTCCATTGTACTTGGCTCAGTACTAATTATATTATATTGAGGAAATTAAGGCTCCAATTTTTTTTCTTTTTTGCCCGATGACAAGGTAACAAACAACAACAATCCATTGAAAAGTCCAGTTATACAACTAGATGCACCCTGGTAAAACTCGGGATTATCCCAGTAAGATTTGAATTGAAGAGATTGCCGGATGCATATAGAAAAGCATCACTCAACACTATAAGATAGAAATGAATCTAACTAAATTTAATGCGCCTGGGGAGACTGACTTATTAGCACTTCCCTTCATGTAACGCTCTAAACAAATAACCCCATGGATTTTTACCGAAAAGAAAAGAGAAATTTTGCTACTAAACTGCTTACAAGAAGTTCCCTACTTCATGCTGTTCCTTATATTTATGAATTTTGAAAAACGAGCCCATCATCAGTGGAACCAAATTGACCTTTTTCAAAGGTAAGGCAATGAAGATACAAACTAAGAACTTGCAAAACTTGCATTGAATTTCAAATAGGTGATCCCGAAGCTATTAATACAATCATCCACATTAAATTTTCCGATAGAACAACAATGACTGATATTCCATAAACTAACAGGTGCTCCAAACTCTCACAAACAACAATCATATCAAGTAATTTGACAAAAGAAATATAAAAAGCAAAAGTACATCAAGAATTTCCCCTACATTACCGTCATATGACCTCTCCATAGTTTACATAGCCATTTTCTAGAATTCTCAATAGAAGAAAGAAAAAGTTCAAAAATCATAGAGGATTTCCACTCGCTTCCGACAGCAGACTCAACCAACACTCAAGGAAACATTTTCTCCAACCATTCCGAAACACTAAATTTAAAAAGTAGAAAAACTACCCACAACTCCCATCACCATTAATAAAACCAAAGTGAGCTTAACAGTATAAGAAGAGTGAGATCAAACTATCATAGACAATGAAAAATGAAATCAAAGGAAAGTTAAGAACCTGCAAAAATCTCCACCAACCGCACAAATTCCCCAATATTATCACCATCCAAAACCCTTCTGCATGCACTCAAGAGCAACCTCCTAGCTGAACCATCAAAAATCAAAGAAGGGCAAATCCCAAGCTTATCAAACTTCTCCATAACTCCAAGCACTGTATCAAACTCTCCGTTCTTCAAACACAGAGCAAAACCAGCTGAAACATGCTTAATACTGAGAGCTTCAACAAAGTGGCCTGGAGCCATGCCTGAGCCAATGAAGCTCTCCGCAAGCATCGAAAATTCATCCAGCCTTCCGTTTTCTGCAAGTTTCGAAGCCATTGAAGCATAGAATTTCAAGGAACTAGGATTTTGCAAGCCAAGGTCTGGCCTAATATCAGATAGAAGAGGGGTTGAAGAGAGATATTTGAGAGAGAGAGTGGTTTTAGTAGGGTTTTGTGGGGTTTTTGTTGGAAAGGTTCTGATGAGCCTGTTGTTGAGGGTTAGGGATGAATTTGGAGGGATAGGTGAAGAGGAGGAGGCCATGAGGAGGTCCCTCATCCTAAACTAAGCATTTGATAGGCTTTGCTCACTCCTAACTTTTAAGGGAGAGGGAGAGAGAGAATATTTGATTGTGATTGAGACGTGTGAGAAGCAGGGAGCTCTCTTACTGTACTAGCAAAACACAGCAGTGACCCCACTATCTTGATTTACAGAGAAAATGGGGTCTACAATCGAAGACTATCCTTTCTACGATCACGAGTGACGACTATAACACTTCTGATTTTCTATTTTGTGGTGTTTTTTTTGTAGGGATTTTCTAGTGAATTTCCTGTTATGAGGTATTTTTAGCATATCATAGAAATTTATTAAGTCTTATCTGAAGTGTTTCCTTTAAGAATTGGTGGTTTATATTGCTGGAATTTTTCTGAATTTCTTTGTGTATAATAACTTGAAGAAATTGTGAGCGGAATGCTTAATAAAAATATGGAAAAAGTTTTATATAAAGATGCAACCTTATAATGTAGAACTACGGATGCACCTTAAAGATCCATCGGAAAAAGGTAGTTTTAATATTGAAATTTGATTAATCATCTCGACATCGAGATGTATGACCATGAAAAATAAAAAGATTTTCAGTCTCAAAAATAGTACATTTTACAACATATTATCTACACCGTCCATTTTCAAGATTTTCATATGTTTATAGATCTTCTTGATTTTAGCCATTTTTACAATTTAGAATTTTATAATTAGATATAAAAATAGATTTTGAGATAATCCTAAGAACATTTTATATCAAAATTATATACCAGAATAAATTTGAAGGTGCACCTTATCTCTACAGCTACGGATGCATCCGTATGCCAACTGCACAATAAGAAGCTCCCACAAGGATGATGAATCTTTGCAAAAGTTTAAATGTAAAATGTGATGTTCTAAGTAGTTAAAAATTCACTTCTGCTTGTTTAGAAATTGAGAGGGAGAATGAAAAGGATTGAAATGGAGCACCTCTTTATCTTGGTGCAAAAAGTGTGTGCTCCTCTAGTAGGTTGCTAAATTATAACTAGTGGCTCTATATTCTATCACTTGCTGAGCTAATTTAATGTAAAATGACCAAAGTTCACAAGCTTATGAAATGCTCTGAATCTTTAACATACTTGCTTATGAAATTGTGAAACTCGTGAGTAGTGATCCATTGCCAAGTTCTTCCGTCTCTATTAATGTTCTTCCGTCTCTATTAATATTTTATAGAATGTGCAAATTGCTTGATTCAAAGCAGAGGTTTCAAATGGAATGAATTTGCCTAGTGTAGATAAGTGAAATTCTTTTTGAGAATCAAATGGAGTTCAGTGCATGAATTTGTTTTAATTCGCATTAGTTTATTAGTACACAGCAGTAGTAACATCCTTCCTTATGAAATGTTCTAACTATGTAATTTTGTGCATGTGCTTATCAATTGCTCTGAAGCTGTAACATCCTTGTTTATTAATGTGCATGACCTGTAACATCTTTGCTCATGAAATGGTTGAAATTTGATTTTTTATCGAGGCTATTTCATAAGCTACATAGACGTGAGATTAAATTTCAATCTTAATTATACATTGTAAAAAATGCATTAGATAGGTAATAGTAAGAAAATCTTATTCAAAAATATACAGTACATAGCAGCACTACGGTTTATCAAATAGGGTTCCTAGCTTTCAGGCTACCAATTTTCACTTTCCTCCCAGATTATAGGTAAATCAGCAGTAGGGAGAATCCCAAAAAAGCTGTAGAGGAATTTATTAAATGCACCCTAAGAGAGTGTTCTACATTGGAATTGAATGATCTAAATAGCATAGCCAGTGTTTTAAAATCCGGCAATTTTATCGATTCGAATACGAATTTGTTGAGACCTAACTGGTTCGGTGATTGTATGGAGTATGAATCCCGACCTATTTCCCCAATAAAACCCTAGTTTTATATTTTTTGTTTTTTTCTTAAACTTATCTAATATTTTTTTAGGTTCCCTTAAATCTCTACCCTACAAAACCTCTATTTCAAATTATTTTATTTTATTTATTTTTCATCTATTTTTAATATTCTTCTCAATTAATGATTCATACTAATCCAAACCCAATCCACATCGCCAACCTAGTGATCTGACACAAATATGTAGGTGAACGATCCACTCAACCATCCTAGTTTTGAAACACAGATCAAAACAATGTAGTTAGAACCAGTGTTCATAAAATCAAATTGAAACGGTTAATCGGACATAGGCTTAAAAGCGATTTAACTGACCTAATTGGTAAGCAAGTCCCGGACGATCAAAAAAGTGTTGAAAAAAAAAAAAACCAAATATATATATATATATATATATATATTAAAATATGAAAAACATATAAAGAATAATTAAAACAAAACTCATTCAAATGAAGTTGAAAATTAATGAAAAAAATAGTTTTTAATGAATCGATTTATGCTTAGGGGTATTTTTAAATGTTTTTTGAAAAAGATGAGAAAATATAAATGTGAGTATTAATGACCAAAACAATTTTTAACCTTTATCATAATGTAAAGAATATTAAAAAATATATTACCAATAAAATTCCTTGTTTTTAGAATTTATATACATGTTTTTTATTTTTTTTAAATACCTGTCGATCACCAAAACCAGAACTGGTTCCAATCTAACCAAACGGTTAGCGGTTAGATCGTGCAGTTTTTCCAACAGTGGTTATAACCGATCTGAAACATGATAGCGCTTATTACCATGTTGTAACCACGGCTATACATATTATTTTGAGCTTTTGATTCTAGGATTGTATACTATGAGACCATTTATCTTTATTACAAAAAAGTAACAATTACTCATAGCCATTAGATGTCAAATTGGATGACTTGGGGTGTATCATAAAGTTTGAGAAATTTTTTTGTTGAACTTCTAGTCAATGACACTCCTGCAACTACCGATTAGAAATCTACGACCTCCTACCCAAAGTAAATGGTGTTGTTATATACTTCTAGTTTGATTTTTGTTATATGGGAATCCATGTGAATTTGGACAATCCATGCTCATTAAATTGCATCGGTATCCGTCAATGATGCAATGTGTAGGAACCACTAGAAATGGCATGATCTAAGTTCTAAACACCCTCTCAGTAGTCTTTGTTTCTTGATTGGACAATGATACATGCTCATCCCGATAGGTTTTCAGTGGTTACATATGTCACTGCCTTGTTTTTTAAAAAAAGAAAAAAGTTTACATAAGGTTGTAACCCTAATTATAGAAATTACCTTTCTTATAGAATAAAGTTGCAATAATCTACATTGCTCATTTTATTTGGATGGTATAGATTTGATATTAGAAAGTGATTTGCAAAAGGTCAACCTTAAACAATCAAAGTTAGGCACATCCTCCAAATTTTGTCATAAGATGCAAAGTTGGTGTCGAAAATTCTTCGGATGGCCCGAGAATCTGTTTTCATATCTAATTATAAAATTTTATGGTATAAAATGGTTCAAATTAAGCAGATATATGAATGCGTTAAATTAAAATCATTAAAATGAACAATCCAAATAATCTATTGCGGTTTTCCAACATCAGGATAACATTTTTCGATAGATTTTTTAGGTGCACCTTAGTTCTACAATTTAAGGTGTCAATATTGTATAAGCGTTTTCCTTGATACTATCTCACAAGATATGTCACTTTTGATATTATCTTAAAATATGTATCAAATCTACACCGTCTAACTAACATAGACATTATAGGATGTTGCAACTTACTTCTACTAATAATGTTGCAATCTTATATCCCTACTTATTTACCAAAAAAAAAAAAGAGGTTGCATAGATGGATTTTGGATCTAAAGTTTTAGAGGTTGAGAATCCCAACCATGTTAAACATGAATATCATATCAATAAATAAATTTTAAGACTTTAAATGGTATTTAAAAGAAAAATGTTTTGATAAGGGTGCAGTTCTATCAAAATATGTAAAGCCTCACCTCAAAAGTCACTAAGAATTGGAGCTCTAAAGTTGAAAAACACTAAAATCAATCATATCGGCCTTAACCATATGGTTGCCAAAAAAAAATAAAAAAATAGGATTTCAAGCCCTAGTTATTGGAATTGTGTCAGGCCTTAAATTCTTGACATTTGCAATGACTCTTAGCTTTAGTGGGAGTATAAAAATGATATGACTCTAGGATCATGGCGAACTAGGACCAAGAGTCGTAGAACCCCCGATTAGATCATGATGAGGATTTATGCATGGGAGGTACTAAAGAGGGTTGAGGGTAACCTCTTAGTCATAGTCGGTTGTTATGTTTGTGCCTCATGACTGTGTGATGGGTCAAGGCAATACAATTTATATATGAGCTTGATGATGAAAAGCCTTATACGAGAAGTTTAGGGCAAATAGAGGACATTGACCTAAATTCCTGACTCCTAGGACCTTCTCGTAGCATGTGCATAGATACAATTGCAATGCATGGGAAGTCGTTTTTCTAAGGATCTACTAGATAGAGCTATGCACATGTGACAAGAGAGGAACCCTTACACCATATATGTGCATCTCCTCTCGAGGGTACACCTGATATCCACTTAAACTTGGGGATTCAGAGTCACACATCGGTTTGACTTTGATAAAGTGAGATTATGAGCCATTGATTATACATTGTGGATCATAAGTCTGTTGGGTCATACCGAGAATGGGGTTTTAGATTCTAAGTCTAGCCAAGTGAAATGCTATATTTTATAATTCGATTTCAATGATCATAATTTCCCTTGTAAATGTTTTTAATCGGTGAAATTATTTAATTTGATGGAAAATCATTAAAATGATTTTTGTGGATTTTGAGAATTGTTTTGGATTTTTTGGTACTAAAATCCAGTTTCCAAAATTATTTCAAAGAAATAACAAACAAAGACAATTTTCCAGGACCACACGGGACATCCAAATAGCTAATGGGTGTCTACATGTCAGCTTGAGGGGGTCCCACATCCCCCATGTGGAGATGACGTGGTGGTGACATCTACCCCACTTGCAGGCCCCCATGTCCTTTGTTTAATTATCCTTTTAAATTAAAGTGTTATGAAATTTTTTAAAATAGTGAGATTTTGACAATTTATTTTTAGCACATGTTAAATATCTAGAGCAAGTAGTTTGTGCATGTGGAGGATTCTAAAAGGGGTATAGAGTTTGTAATTACAAGCCTAACCCTAAAGGTATATGGTAAATGTGCAAATAACCAGTTAGTTTACGTTACATGATTTTATTAACCCCTTATGCTCTTATGAAATAGGGAGAATTTAAGATTTGCCTTTTGCTGGATTTTTTATCAAATAACCATAAGGCCATACCTTCCATCTTGGTTTTAGATTTATTAAATGTAAGGAGAATGAGCTTTCTGATAACAAGGAAAATTGGAGTGAATTAAAAGAAAATAAAAGTGTTTAAATCTATAACACACATCTTGATGGCATAATGGTGGATAGTGGGCTAGAATCATATCTCTCTTGATAGCCATTGGTAGATGGTATGAAAGGCCAATATTCATCTATCTAGAAACACCTTCATACTTGAGGGTTGAAAAGTTATAAATACCCATGAGCTTTCCTTTTCCCACACATGAGTTCACACTTTATATTTTCCCTCTGATTGGGTGGCACACCTCTCTCCCTCTCTCTCTCTTCCAAGAGTGGCACACCCTCTCTCTCTTTCTTCTCTCTAAGATCGTAATGTGAGAGAAGAACTCATGTGAAGGTCTCATTCTACTCCACTAATAGTGGTCCAAAGCTCAAAATTCAAGCTATAGATGATCTAATCTTCAAGCCTTCAACATCTGAATAAGATCAATTATATCTCCATTGATTTTCCTTAATTTGTTCTTGCTGTAAATTATTAATTACATCAATATTACTTCATCCTTTGATCATTAGATCTTTGATCTTTTGATTGATCATTAGTCCCTCTTAATTCATATAGTTAAAGGCTTCATCCGGACATATTTTGACATAGTTTTTCATTATCTTTCTTCTGTGGATTTTGGAGTAATTTTAGAAGATATTTCTTCCATGGATCCCTCTTGAACATTCTTCTTGATATCATGAATTGTTGATTTTATAAAAAGAGAATATGGAGATTTTTTATGTGTCGGATTGTGTACTCAATTGAATTAGTTTTGTGTTTTTAAGACCCAATTTTCTCTCACGATTTTTCCACTCGATTTGATATTTGGATCTCTATAAATCCTTCCATGATTAAGTGAGTATCGGTAGATACTTGACTTTCCACTTGATTAGATGATGAATTAGCTCGATTTTGTTCTATGACATCACATATCACCGAATGGCACATAGCTAAAACCCAATGCTGTAAACTGGATACCCGAGAGCTCCGATTGGCTTCCCAAGGTCATTGTTCATTATACACTTGAGCATATGTATATTGTCGTAATGGAGATCATGTTATACTGTTATTTTTTAGGTCTATTTATGTATTATTTTGCTTTGTAAATTTGAGTAGCACTAAAATTTTAAAAGCATATTATTCATGTGCAGTTTGATGATCTTCACTCATGGCTTGTTTTGTTCATATGTAAGGTACCCTAATTGAGTTGTATCTTCCATCTTGAGTATATTTCAAAATCAATAGCTCACTGTTATAAAAGTGACCTTGCTGTAATTTTAAATTTCGAGTTGTAATTGCAAATGTATTGTAAGATTTGTAACTATAATGGCTTGTAATTTCTCTATCTTTTAATTCAAGTCGAGAGCATTGGTTTATATACACTCTCAGTTGTAACATATTATCTAAACCGTCCATTTGTCCCTAAAAAATAAGCGTTCTCAAATCCGTAATATCATCGCCATTTATTAGCATCAAATTTCATAGTCATTGATGAAAATTGATTTGAGCCGTCATGGAGATTTCTTATGCCTAAAATGCTTTTCAAATGAGCATTCGAAGTGAGGCTTTACTTTATTTTCATAAAGCCTAGGCTAATAGATATTGCATCATTTTATTTTATTTTTTCTTTTAATGAATTTTCATTTAATATTTGGAAAGGGCCCCCATTTTTTGAAATCCATCTTAAATATTGATGTGCGGGGGAATGCTTTTGTTGAATTGCATCCCCATCAAGTACTTTGAAAGGGCCTTTTCATATAGTTACTGTTCTTTAAGAAATAGGGTTACAAAAGTGGCTCGCCCATGAATGAGAGAGCGGATCAAGCCTCACCGCTCTTCAGTCGAAGGGACTAAAGAGGTGATGTTTATCAAGAACTGCTCCACGCTAAGGTTATCAAGGTCAAGATGATGGGGGCCATAATGCGATGTCTAGGGTTCCAGAACTTCATTCTCATCTAGTCTCAAATTAATATTTTTTTTAAAAAATTCTTGATTACCAAACAATATTTTCGAGTAGTGCATCAAGTGGCGCCTCTCTCTAAATCATAGTTATCTAGACCGGAGTAGATCACATAGTCGGACCGTCAACTATTGCCTTGGCTAGCCCTACTTAACATAAAATCTGGTTTGTTCGAAACCAATCAAAATCAATATTCAATTGGTTGTGACCAATTGGAGCTTTTAATTTTGACCAATTCGACAAGTTAAAATTGTGAAAACGTTTTTGCCAATATATTTTCTTATATTTTTAAATTATTATCCTTTTTTTCCTTGTTTATATTTTTCTCAAATATAATCCAACTAATTTGACTATAATCGAACCCGTTTTGATTAGACTAGACGCTTAACTGGTTCAATTAACTGTTCCAATCCTTTTGGGTGAGTTGGGATTGACTAATAAATATAATTATTGAGATCCCGATACCTAAATAGAAGCCCCTTATTAATGAAATGAAATGATTATGGGGTTATGACTTTTATGAGTAAATTTTGTGACCTTGGCGTTATGGAATTTCGGGTGGCAATGGCCTGCCCAGCCGAATCAGCCTGGCCCTATCAAACTAGGGTCTCTGCTACAAAATGTGGCCTGAGAGTTAGGCAACCACAACTAGACGGCAGAGCCGGACCGGGAGTGGGTCATGGCCATGGCTGGCCTAGTTCAGCTCTACCCCAACCTACTTATTTATTAGTTTTTTTTTTTTTTTTTTTTTGACATTGCCCAGCCCTAATAGGGCTAGGGCGTCTTTCGCCCAATGCAAGGCCAGGCTAGGGCGGGCCTGGGTCTGTCCCATGGAGAGTAGGGCCAAGGCTAGCCCAGCGCGATGCCATCCTTATATGGAGTCGATAAAATAAAAAAGAAATTTTAACAAAATTTAGCATTTATACAATAAAACATGAAAAATATATAAACAAAAGTTTAGCGAGTAAATCCATAATATTGAATATTACTTTTCTAATTAACTATTAAAAAGTTAGGAAAATCTTCATAAATATCACATTTCAAAAAGATTCGTAAATATCTCAAATAATTTCTGGTGTTTAAAAAATGTCCGATATTTTTTATCTTTTATGCTCGTCCCTTTTTTGTATTTTTTTTTTTTTCAAAATACCCTCTATTCAAATCTAGTTTCAAATCCAATTTTTCATAAATAAACTCAGTTCTAAAGTGCAAGTTCGGAACTGATTTTTAAGTGACTTTGTTTGGAACTTGAACATCGAAACAGAGCTATCCTTTTTTTTTTAAGGATAAAAAAAGATTTGATGGAAAAACCTACTATAGTGTGCTTCCACAAGAGCACATTACGTGCTTAGTCCCTCAAATAAAAGATCTATTTAGATGGAAAATTTAAAATAATCATTTCTGAGCGAACAAGTGTAAATTGTCGTCTTGCAAGACCATTAGGTGATGATCTTGCTGGCCACATGGTGCACTTGCTCTGGTAGATATAGAGACAGATCTCTTTAAATTTTTTTGAGACCCAGAAGTGCTGGATGATTATTTTAATAGAAAACTTTTAGACTTTTCATCAACAAATATCCTCTTTTTTTTTTATTTTTTGACAAGACATAAATCTATTGATAAAAGATAATTACAAAAGAATTACAAATCAAGAAGGAGAAATGACCACAAAGTGTAAATGAACAACAGCTTTTGCCAAAGATTCTACCTTATCATTTGCCTCATGCTGGATATGTTGGAATGAAATAGTATTGTGCCAACATAGATAACAAATTTTTATCCAAACTTCTTACAAATTCCACAATAATCTCCCAATAAAATTGCATTAGTTGATAACATTTAAATAATCCCCTTCCACCCCCCAACATAAATTAACATATTTTCCTTTCAAAATTTTCAAACCTTATCCTTCTAATACATGTTGGCCCTAGGTTCCATAAATAATTCCCATCAAAATTTAGCTTAACACTTCAATGTATAGGCGGAGGCCATCTCCCTCACAGCTGATTTTCAATATTGCATGCGTTACCAAATTCTTTAGATTTAACATGACATCCAATTTCTACACACCATTTCTTTCTTTCGTGTTTGGATACCAAAATCACACATTATCATATCATTATTTTTTGTCATATCATAACCATTTCTATAAAAAATACGCCTATTTTTTTCCAATCAAACCTCCCAAAGCAAAGCCCCATGAAAGATATTCCAAATGATTACACCTTCTTTGGCAAACTAGCTCAACTTAGTTGTCGAATAATTTCATAATGTCTAGCAGGCAAGGGTACCAAATATCCTTTATTTGAGAGACTAAATATATAATATGCTCCATTAGTAGCGATGCACTAGTTTTTTTAAAAAAAATATCTCAATATTTTTTATTTTTAACTTCTATATCTCATCATACTTAATATATAAAAATATTACTGATAAAAAAAATAAATTCAATCTTTTCCATCTGACAACCCACCTTCTGTTTATAAATTATTTACCCTAAAAAAAACTAAAATCACGTCCAATTCTTTCCTTCTTTTCTTCTCTGTTAACGTGAACCACCTCTCTCTCTCTCTCTCTCTCTCATGACCGTCTCTCTCTTGCAACCCCAAAGAAGCAAAGCAAGATTATTTTCACAAGCAAGGAGACTTGAGCAAAAGGATATCATTCTCATTCTTCAGCTTGTGTGGCTTCCTCAACTTCTTTTGCCAGTCTGGTTCAGCTTCCGCAACAACCGTCGCCATAGCAAGAGAAAGACTGTTCATTTGTAGAATCAGAGAAGGAGAACCTTGTCCATCTGTCAAGGTCTCTCAGCCAAATGAGAAGAAAAGTAGAGATAAATCAGTGGAAGAGGAGTTGAAGGAGGTAGGGAAAAGCTAAAAAAGATGAGACTTGAGAAGGAGAAGGCGGATGAGATATTGAAGGAGAAGGATGAGCTTTTGAAGCGGAAGGCGGAGGAGATAGAGAATAGGGGGAAGGCACAAGAGAAGCTCGACTCTGAGATCAAGAAGTTGCAGAAACTGAAAGAGTTTAAGCCTAATCTAAGCCTTCCTATTGTGCAGCCTCATCCGACAAAGGAGCAAGAGAAGAAGCTAAATCCCCCATATATTTTATGGTGTAAAGAGCACTCAAATCAGATTAAAAGTGAGAATCCTAAAGCAGAGTTCAAGGAGATAAGCAACATTTTGGGAGCGAAGTGGAAGGATTTGAGTTCAAAGGAGAAGAAACCATATGAAGAAAAGTACCAAGCTGAAAGGGAGCTCTACTTAAAAGTCTTAACCCAAAAATTTCGTAACTCCAACTAGAATCGAGCTTCTACAATAGTTGCAGAGCTCTAAAACTCCTTCGTTGAAAGGAAACAATAATTTCTTCAAAGCTCAGAAATATTTCAAAGTTGAAATGGTGTCCTGCTGCGTCTTTGCAAGTGACCAGAGAATTGATCCAAGATTTGTACAGTGGGAAAAGAAATCTTTTTTACAAATAAACCCTAATTGCATACAAAAGACGCAAGATTTGTACCAAAATGAAGACCCTATTGGTTGCAGAAGAGAGAGACAGAGAGCTTTGAATCTCTTAGTGGTCAAAGCTTGTAAAGTCAAGTCTCGAGAGAGAGAGCTACCTCGGCTCGCAAGAGAGAGAGAGTTCTCTGGTTTTCGCAAGAGAGAGAGCTGCCTCTAGTTTTAGTAAGTGAGAGATGGAGTTTTGAGAGAGAGAGACAGAGGGTGGTTCACGGTTAGCAGATAAGAAAAGGATACGGTGTGATTTTATTTTATTTTTAGGGTAAAAAATTTATAGTTACAGGGTGGGCAGGAGGTCGTAAGATAGTAAAGATGGATCTCTACCGGTTTTAAGGAATATTTTCATTTTTTAAGTCTCATGAGATACAGAAATTAAAAATAAGACCTCGTGAGATTTTTTTTTTTTTTTTTCATAGGCTTTAAAAGATTCTAGAAAGTTGAAGTCCCACGTCATAGTCTTAAAATAAACACGAGAGACCTAGTTCACGACTTTAGGTACCGCATTGGTCACTTGTATATTTAAGTGAAAAATGAGTTCAAATTTGAAGTTCCAAATCCACATCTTGACCAAAAAGAAAAAAAAAAAGAAGGTATCGACCTTAAGGTATACTTTAAAAATCCATGAGAAAAAGGTTATTTTGATAGTGAAATATCTCAAATTGATCATCTCAACCTTGATATGTTTAAATATCAAGACAAAAAAATTTTCCAGTCATGAAAGTAATGTATTTGTGGCAAATTATTTTGACTGTTCATTTTCAAAAATTTTAATCGTTTATAGATCTGTTTGATCTGTACTGTTTATGAAGCATTAAATTTCATAATTAGAACTAATAATATATTTTCTTTCCATCTTTCTGACACCAAAACTTCATATTTCAGCATAGTTATGAGGTGTGCCTTATTTGATCGGTTAATATTGATGCTTTACAAAACCTCACTCTGGGCCCTAATTCTAATATTGCAGTTTTGAATGAGTTATTTTTTGAAAAAAGTGACAAAAATATGAAAAGGGTATGCTTTGTATAAGGTGTCAACTTGATACTGGTGAAGTAAGGTGCACGTCAAAACTATGTCGAAAATGCAGTTTTGATGCCACAAAGCCTTGCGACGATATAAAATTGCCCCCAGTTATGAAATTTAGAGTTCCAAAAATAGTGATGATCAAGCAGATCTATAAATACTTGTAAATCCTAAAAATGGACGGTCTAGATAACGTGTTACGACATCTTATACTATTGAAATAAGGTGCATCTCAATACTATGCTGAAAATGCAGTTTTTGTGCCACAAAACCAACAATATGAAAATCTGTTGTTGTCCCGAATTATGAAATTTAGAGTTCTATAAACGGTGATGATCAAGTAGATCTATAAACACTTGTAGATCTTGAAATGGACGGTCCAGATAACATGTAAGAAGAACTATTTTTAGAACTAGAAATTTTTTTTCTTTGTGTCTATGAATCTTGAGGTCGAGATGATTGATTTGAGGGTTTTTCAGCATGGAACAACTTTATCTAATGGGTTTTTTTTATACACCTTATACATGATACCTTATGAAAGCTTTTTCCATGTGAAAAACAAACCTCCCATACAGTATAAAGTTAACACCTTATATAAGCTTTCTCCATATGAAAAATAAGACATTTGTTTAAAATATAAGGTCAATTTATTAAAATACACAACTAATCTATTTAACATCAGGTGTGGTTTATATAAGGCGCCAACCTGAAACTGTCAAATCGTACGTCTAAACCTTGCTAGATGTTCTGATGCTGAAAATTCCTGCCACGGTCCCAAAATCTATTTCCCTACTTAACCATAAAATCTAAAGATCAAAAAATGCTGTAGATCAAGTAGATATATAAATACTTAAAAATCTTAAAATCCTTTTAATCAAATCAAGCATATGTAACTAATGTGTTATAAGATGTACTATTTTTTTTTATCTTTATCCAGGCATCTCGAGGTTAAAATGCTTCCGGCATTCACAAACGTTACATCAACTTTTTCTTTTATCTTTATCCATGCATCTCGAGGTTAAAATGCTTCCGGCATTAACACAAACGTTCATCAACTTTTTCCTTTAACACTTTACTCATAACCATTCCAACCCATGATCATGTATAATAATGAGCCTGCTTAAACTAATAAAAATGTATATATTGTTAAATTGCTCATCTCTTAGGTCATCTTGACAAACTTCCCAAATATAAAAGATCATGAACATTTTGTATACAAGGGAAAATATATGAAAGGGTTCCTTTTAAACTATAAGTCACGCCTCCTTTTCCCTCCGAATTTTCTTGAACTTCTCTCCCTAGATGAGTTCTTCATCTAAACCCAGTGACAATCAGCCAAAGTCCATGGTTATCTAGCATTAAACTAGAGCAAAAAATCCCAATGAGATGAACTTTTAAAAACAAAATTAAATACATTTTAAAAATTAACTTCAATAATTTTTAAAAAGAATAATTTCCAAAATAGGATTTCCAATTTTTTGCAGATGAAATAGGTATCTATGATAGAAAACAAGTAGAAAAGTGAGTAATTCAAGAAACAGAACTAAATATGGAAAATTAACAAAAATAAATGTGAGAAGTCAAATAGATATATGAATAATATCAAATGACTTAAAAATTAGTAATTAGTTGTATATTAATATTTAATTTAGATCAAGTTTCTAAAATTTAGTGACGCTTAGCTCAAAAAAATGTCATGGCTACAGTTAAAATCTATCTAATTTAATGTCTCAAAATTATTTTATAATAAAAATAAATTTGAGCTTAGAGATAGCAAATTCAAAAAATAGATACTAACTATTTAGAAAATTATTCCATGCTATAAATTAAAGAAAAAAAAAGTAAAGTAAAGGAATTCCCACTAAAATGGAATTTTTATGGCTAGATGGGATAGGACATTTGCAGAACTAGGATGGCAACGGGCTGGGCCTCAGCTGGGCCAACTTGGCCCTAGCCTGCCTCTTATTCCTATAGGACCACCTAGTTTGGATTGCCAAGAGGCTCTAGCATAGGTCCGGCTCTAGTCTTGTACAAGCTGGGTCTAATAGATCCAGAAAAAAAAAAAAGAGAAAAAAAAACAGAAAGAAAAAAAAGTAAAAAAGAGCTGGGCCGGGTCAGCCCTAAGCTTGGCTCGGGCCTAGCGCCAGACCACATTTTGTGTGCCTAGTTCTTAATTTCTAGAGCCCGGCCACCCAGCCAATCGCAAGCCATGTGCACGACAGAGCATTACTTTGCCTTCCTAACCTTTAGAGCAAAGCGATGGGCTACATTGGGCTTGGTGAAGTGTGGAAAGAAGCCGAAAGCAGAGTACAGGAAGAGGATGTTGCCTAGGATTCTTTGAAGTGTTAATGGACAGTTCCAAATGTAATGATGGGTCGTGATTACTAGGGTCAGTAATTGGTGACATTATGATGCATGGTTCTCTTTGACGCCTTTTTCCCTTCTATATAGTTCCCATCCCATCTCTTCCAATAAACAAGTGAAACCCATTCACAATGGAATGCCATGTCTAGAGTAAAGGATTGCTGAATAAGCAACATTAACGAAGCCATAGATCACTAGGGCATTTGGAGGCCATAGAAGTTAAAATTTCAATTGCTCTAAGAAGGGTGAGGACCTTAAACTTTTCTCAAACCCGTCTCAAGCCCAAGTAAAAGAGATGGATTGTGTTAGATAAACAGCTAACATAAAATTTTGCTAAAGCTTTCCGTAATCTTGAAGATGGCGGACCAGGATTCCTGTAGCCGACTCCAAATATTTGGAAAAAAATGTTAATGATGATGATGAGAAGTCGAAACCCCAATAACAACCCAACCCTAATATTTATAATAGTAATATAATTAATGTCAACATCATCATTATCATCATGGTAAAGCCAATAATCAAAGTTTACATCATTCTATATCAAGGGACAGTTTGTTATTATGATCTTTCAACGTGGGTGTCACTCTTAACTTCAAGTCCCCACCTATTTTCAAGAACAGCACAGGTGCCAGTTTATGATAATTGCCAACCATTCATCCAACTGACCATTTAACTGCAGTCTACTAAACAAGAAAAGAATAAAATGAAAAGACAACCTGGACAACACGATCTTCCCTCATCAAAATTGTTAGAACGTGCATTACTTTTCCTTCCTTGCAGCTTTTGCTACTACCTACCGAACCATCTCTTCAAGTGGAACATCAAGATTAGCCCACTTCAAAAGACGCTGCCCAAGAATAAATGACTATGAGAGCTTCACGATGCTGTGTCTGCGACTGGTTCACGAATCTCAAGAGAGGTTTTTGATAGGCTCGCTTCCAACTCATTTAACTCATCCATATCCAGTTCATCTTCATCTCCAAGTACTGCTTCAGCATCCTCATCTGTGATAGATGATGTGCTTGGCCCTTCTTCACTTGTTGCATTCTTGACCTAACAGAAAATAATATAAGACAAATAAAATGAGACTGTATTTGGCAGTCAATATATCAATAGGTTTGAGCTTTCAATTTTCTAACCAATCATATTATATAAAATATTCACAAACCAAGAATGAGGAAAGAATTCAGCTCACAAAATTCTCCCACTGGGTTCTTCTAGTTCTTTTTTGAAATTATTCATGGATTACCAAAAACTTCATTCTTTAGGTGGTGCAGGAATCAGGGTAGTGACAGGATCCAATCAGTAAACTTGGTAGTTCCTATCCAGTATATAGAGCATTCCATAAAAGGTAATGGAATCTTAATACACAACAAAATGTCATAGAAGCATTTCTTTCAAATGGATAGCGTATTTTATGTCCTATCAATCAAGCAGTTGAAAGCTTAACAATGAGGTAATCACCTTGGATAAGGCTCCTTGAGCTAGCCATTCCACTTATACCACTAACCCATCTGCCCAAGCAGGTATTTGAATTTCATTACTATATTCATTCTGCATATTACAATATTTGTCCTGTAATAGCAACACAAGGTCGCTGACATACATGTGCCCCAAGATAACTCTGTTAACTACTTAGAAGTTTAATAGATGAGCATTCGCCATAGGTTTGTGTTACCATTTCTTCCTGCATTTTCATTTGTTTTCCAAAGCCATCAATTCTAACATATGCTATAAGAGCCACCACAGGGCGATTGAAGGATTATTCTTGTGCGATGGTATGATAGTCCATCCATCCAATGTGAATTCTTAATTCTCACTTGTTTCAAATGGGAGTTGTGTATCTATAGGATTTTGAAAAATTTCTTGGATTTTCTGAAAGGGTATAAATGGAGTTTTCCAAAACTTCTTTGACTTGAATCATATAGCCAGGAACTAAACTTTCCTCATTTTCTTGTGATCTGTTAATCAGGATGAATTTATGCTTTCTTGAGGTTTGCACCACCCTCGTTAGTATAATGTTTGGAAGAAATTACAATTTCCAGTGGTGATCAGTGCCAAAGTTTTAGGGATTTTATGCATGTTTCTTATGAATGCATATAGAGACCATCTTGGGTTTTGTGTCCCTGAAAGCCAAGTTCAATGGGTTTCTCAACAGTTTTTTTAAACAGCTCAAAAAAAAAACGCTTGAGGGGTTTTCCTTAACTGCCAGTCTGCCAGAGAATCTTCTTAACCACCAGATAGCCAAGTAACTACAGATCCCTTAACAGCATGAGAACTATAAACCCACAATAACTGAAAAGTAAGCAAATCACAAAGGGTTCAACTTGAGAATAGAGCTTGTACTTCTCTTTCAAAATGAACACACAACTCAACTAAGCTTAAGCTTGAACTTTTGAAATATGAACACAAGGTTCCAAAAACAAGCCTAAAATTCAAACTTCTCCAAAACAACTGACACAGCATATGCTTCAACAATGCACCCATAGGCAGAACATGCTCTCATTACCTTCAAGCCTACTTGGTTATTCCAAGACGCAAAGTTTCTTGACGAGTTTACCTCTAGGACACAATTAAACCCAATTCAGCACCATAACTCTTATCTTATCTCCAGAGAACAGAGTCGCCAAACTGATTTGCCTTACATGTTGGTTTAGGTTTGGACTTGATTTGAACTCAAGAAGATCCAATTTCCAGGATATTCTTGGTAGAAAAGGCAGCTTGTAAGTTAAAGCTGGCGAGAACTCATTAAAAAAAATGCCTGAGCATGTTTTAACTCTGAAAGGGGGTATTTATAGAAGTTCCCAAAACTCAGTTTCTGTTGGTTGTTGAAAAAGTGGGATGACATGTAGCGAAGGGACAGCATATGTGGCAAGGGATTTGAGCTGTGTAGAAAGAGACAACTTAGTGGTGGCGAGAAGTCACCTTCACCTTTATTACACAAAAAGGTGCTTAGTGCTCGCAAGAAGTCGGGCAGCTTGACTGCCTATTAAGATGTGGCTTATCCGGGATGAGAGACATCAATAAAAGTTGCTACCCATATAAAACCAATAGCCCGGAAACTACAAACACAATGTCAAACAAGCATGAGTGTTCCGTTTAAAGCACATCATGATGGTTAATGACATATGCACGGGCTGTGACCAGACATAATGGGATGGGATGTGTCCATGGTATTGCGACAAACTGCAAATAAGAGAAAGGTCTTACATGTACCACAAACAATGCACCACAAACAAAGCAAAGTTTGTTTCATCATTCACTGTGTCTATAGAACAAATCAAAAAATTTCATTAATTCTATGGGCTTGAACACTACAAACAACTTTACTCTGCTTCATTTGGCAAGGGAGTTGAGAGATTTCAAGCAAGTATTTCACGAGTACAATCATTTACAATTTAACCGACTGGAAAAAGAATGTGTCAGAGACAAATTCATTCAAGAGTTTTTTGCCACTTTTTTCTCGACATTTGGAGATGACAGTGATGGAACTGACACGCTCTCCCAGGATGCTTAAGATCCATATTAAGACTCAGGATCCAAGGTCACACCATCCACAGGTGGATGAAGTTAAGACCCACACTTAAACACATCATGGCATCTTGATGTCATAAAACTGAGGTTCCTAATTATATTTGAGACATGTAGGAGTAGTTATCTACTAATCTGAGAAGACGTAATTGGAAGCTTTGGACTTAGAACCAAAGAGAATTATAACTGCTGAATCAGTTCTTGCAGTGACCCATATTGACTTCACACCACTGAGATGCAAAGTCACAAGGGTGGGAAATGGGACGCATATCACCATCCTATAGGAAGTCAACAAGGTGCCTACCGTAAGACGATAAGGTATGTTGCCATAAAAAGTCAACAATAACATATATAATGCTTATTGTAACTCCAAATGCATCTAGTTACTCCTCCTGTTCAATAATGACGTATATCACTACTTATTGTAACTCCAAATGCATCTAGCTACTCCTCCCGTCCTCGAGAGAGAGAGAGAGAGAGAGAGAGAGAGAGAGAGACGTACC